GAGTTTTTATCAGCCTATGACCTTATATAGATATTGTGATATCTAGATATTGTGCCTGAGCCCAAACAGATTTTTAAAAACCTCTTATACATAATTTACAATATACACTACATTGCCAGAAGTATTTGCTCACCCATCCAAATGACTGCACACCAGTGCACAGAGGAAGGTCCATAAAGACATGGATGCAGAGTCTGGTGTGGATGAACTTGACTGGTCTGCACAGAGTCCTGACCGCAACCTGATAGAACACCTTTGGGATGAATTAGAGAGACTGAGAGCCAGGCCTTCTGTCCAACATCAGTGTGTGACCTCACAAATGTGCTTCTGGAAGAATGATCAAAAATCCCCATAAACACTCTTAAACCTTGTGGACAGAAGAGCTGAAGCTGTTCTAGCTGCAAAGGATGGACCAACATCATATTGAGCCCTATAGATTAGGAATGGGATGTCTCATAAGAGTCGAGGCAGGTGAGCAAATACTTTTATATATAGTGCAATATAGTGTAAGAGCCCATTCTGCAGCTGCAGTAGTGAGACCCTGGACGATTCTAAACTTGGATGAAAATTATTTAACACAGTTGTTTACARTTAGGTTAAAATTATTTGACCAAAGGAAAACCTGAGCAGGACTAGAAAGATGAATATGATTTAAGGGTGGTAATTATGCTTATCTCCTCTCTTCATGTGCGAGCACCTGGGGCCTCATGCATAAAGGATTGCGCAGCTTTTACATTAAAAGTTGACGTACGGACAAATTTAGAAATGTGCGCCGCACCAAAATATTCAGATGTATAAAACCATGCGTACGCATGTTCCTGCGCACCTTTCCTTTATACTGTACTTCCCAATGAATGTGGAACTGAGACTCCTCTCCTGACACGCCTCCATTTAAATCAGTAAAATAGATGTAAATATATCCAGCGTGTGAGATTCTGTTCAGATTGTCCTCTTTGTGGGATCAGAAATMATTTTTAGATGCAGGAAAATTATACATTAAACGGAGAATGAGTTAGAAAACTGTCTAAATAAAAAGTGGGATGACATTGTTTTATGTGGCGCATTCGCACGGGATAACCAAAGTCTGAGATTTTCCTGAAATTTACAGACATCTCCCGAATGTGATATTGAAGCCTGGTTAGCTGTTGTCTATTTAGTTGAACAAGGCGTTGAACGGACATTTAAAAAAAATAAATAAAAATTTAATTAGAAAAAACAATAAACATTACGTTATCCAGTTTTTCTGCTCTCCTTTGCTCCTGCGTTACAGCAGGCGCTGTCATCTCCACGTAAAGACCCCCACCCCACCCCCACGAGCAGGTATGAGTGGTAGCTTACAGATTTTTAGCAAAAATATAGATTTTTGAGGCTCATTAGACAGGTAAACGTCCAAAGGGGTTGACATACACTCACCGGCCACTTTATTAGGTACACCACGCTAGTAACAGGTTGGACCCCCTTTTGCCTTCAGAACNTATATAACAAAAATAAAAACTGATTTTCGGTACAAAACGGTATACCGCCCAGCACTATTGCTACTGCTCAAAAAAATGCTTCAAAAATGTTTTTTATTATTATATTTCAGACAGTTCATTCAAGTAATACATTGATAAGACATTTATTCATTATATTTTGACAAAATGCAGGTTTTGCACACGTTTAAATCAAAACCCTATATCTGCCTATTTTTCCACATTTTTCCACTTTTGGACTTAATCTTTGTTTCAKTGTGATGGTCACAAATGTGACAACTGTGATGTGCCTTTGAAATCTGACCCCCAAACTCAACACTGTAAAAACCTCGTTCCCTGCAGTTACAGCGGGATTTTGTTTCTACCTGAATTTCACATCTAGAGGCTAATTTTTTTGCCCATTTTTTTTAAAGCTGCATCTCATTCCAGTTGTATGGAAATCATTTAAACAGTAAGTTTCAAGTCTTACCACAGATTGTCACTTTAACTTGGCCATTCTAACAGATACATGTGCTTCAATCCAAACRATTTAATTGTATTTCTGGTTGGATGTTTCAGGTTMTRCTGCTGAAAGGTGAACCTCCATCTCAGTCTCAAGTATTTTATGGTCTTTCACAGGTTTTCTTTCATGATGGTCCTGAGTTTACCTTCATTTATCCTCCCATTAACCCTGACCAGCTTCCCTGTTCCTGTTGATGAAAAACGTTCCCACAACATGATGCTGTCACCTTATGTTTTATTGTAATAAAACATGGTGTGTTCTTGGTGTTTTGCATGTAGACCACCATATGTGATGCGCCACAGCAAAAGTAGCAACAAGTCTCTGACACACAAACTGAGAAAAATAGGAAAAACCATTATTTTCTGAGAAAATATTAATTTGCGTTCAGGGAAAGGGAGCTGCACAGCTGATTTTWGCTCTTCTCGGGACTGTTCACACACTTTTGTTATTGGTTTCGGCCAGTAAGCTGGAGGTTTGAAAGATCCACATGGCTACTTAAGCAGGTAGTGATGCTGTTCGGTTCGGTTTTGTTCTGTTATTGAGCAAACGTGGATGGAGAACTGCAGCTGTTAGCTACAGCATATCACTGGAAGATGCCAACGTCACTTCTGATTCTAAATCAGAACAAGATGAAGCTGAAGAATTTGATGAGCAAACACGTTACTTTGGAAAACATTCTGAGTTTCCTGCTGTAGTTAGCTGAAGATTTAACTTGTAATTTATTCATTTAGCATGACAGTGCATATTAYTAACAGTCAAGAATCAAGAATTGTTTGTCATTCATACACAACATCAGATGCAATGCAGAATGACATTTGCKGTTTTGAGCATCCGTCCGGAGAAAGACACACACAACAGACACAGGGGYAKRYAWMMRCKYGGSCC